TTCTCTAATTTCTAACCCTAACCCTAACAAATCTTAGGACCGGTGATGATCACCGCCGGTGATTAGAACTAAATCTCATATATATATATATGTCATGCTTGAAGTTGCGTCCAAAATTAAGGTCTAAATTAAAATTTTACTAAATAAAGCACACACGTACGTATGTAGTATGATCGGTGTAATTTTGAGAGATATTAATGTCCCGAACTTTGCCCTGTGAGCACTTAACTACGTAGAGCAAAACTATGAGATCTATTAATAAAACTACTCAAAGTAAGTTTTCAGATTTCAATATAATGATCAGGAAAGACTATACGTTCATAGCATATCACTCTTATATAATTTGCAATCATTTAAATGGTTTGGGCATTTTAGATGTGAAGAATATATTACATTATATTTTCAAATGTTTTAATATAATGTATATCATTTAGTTTTTCTTTTTTTTTTTAATGTTAAATATCAATTCTTACAAACATTTAATACAGAATTTATGCTAAAATACTTTTAAGTAAATACGAGTTAAAAAAAAAAAAAAATTTAATTGCAGCAAACTATTTACTTCAAGTCAAAAACCTTTTTTCAATGTAACTTTGTTAGAAATTATGTTTTAAGATTGATTTCATGTCAAAACATTGAGAAAGTAATAAAAGTCGATCTCTAAAAAAAGTTCTTTAATAAAGTAATCTTATATAAACTATCCAGATAACTCTATATTTTATAGTTATTGTATGGGTATGTAGTGAATGACCCATACACTCAGGTTCATATTCCGTAGCCTTCGTCCACGGGATTTAAATATGAACCCGTGTGTAACCTGGTTATTCTATATACCCGTAATAACTATCTTATTGCACGGTGTCTGGCGTACAAGAAATTAATGAAAAAAGCAGTTTATTGTACAGATCTTATGTAACAACCCGTGCTATATTGTACAGTGCCCCGCAATAAAATTTGAATTTACACAAAAAAAGTACTACAGTCAGACCTCCCCAAATGCATTTCGATGTTATAGAAGTATTACATTTATAGAGATAAAATCCATTAGTTGGACCAAGTGGTAACGCACATTTAAGGGGCTTTTCGACCGTATGATTTAGAATTGCAACAATATCATTTAATCCGTTCTTCTTATGCAAAAATTGCAACAATATAATCTAAACCGTTTTTTTATGCAAAATGCAAACACTTCATGTTTAACGTTCTTCTTTCTAAATATTTATTTTTAACGAATTCTTGAGTGTATATGTTGTATGTTGCTCTTAATTCAAATTAACGTACCTGAGTTTAAAATTTATACCGATTAAAATGTAACATACGTGTTTTAAAAATTATACTGATTAATATGTAACTACGTAGTTACGTCAATTAAACTCAAGTTTAATATAAGAGTTTAATAAATTAGAATGATTATAAAAAAAAAAAAACATACTTTGTTATTTTATCTTCCATAATATGGCTTTAAATTCCTCGCTAGTTTTTCGTTTCTTTCATTTCAAAGCTTTCAAAAAATCGTTGATGATTACATGAACAATAGAAAAAACGAAAGACATATAATGAATCATTCAAAGTATGATCGTTGCCTGGCTATTTTACGAGACCCGTCAAGTAAACATGAAAATTCGAACTTTAAATATTGGGTTCTTAATACCTTTAAATTAATTAAAGTTGGGACATGTTACTTAGAACCGTCAAATGATTTATAATATTAACGGAAAAACGATATAAAACTAAAAAACGTGTGTTAAATTTGAAACTTGTGATCTCGTAAAGATTCGGATTCCTGATATTGATAGGCTAAAATGGATAGACGAGCATTGTGACTCATATCAAGTTGGAAGCAAGTTTGGAATTTTGAATTAGAACGATGAATTTCCTGAACTTGATGTAATTTCAATTGCAACAAAACTTAACCCGATCATTAAATATTACATATGAAACACCCAACCAAGAAACTGAACAGTGATTAAAGTAAAATTATGACTGTTATTGTAATAAAACAAATTATGGAAGTAGGAGTTGTCTTGTTGTAAGAACAATGCTCTTTGTACTTTTCGTTGTGGTTGTTTTCGCCGAGGTACATGCAAAAATCATATAACGCTTAGCAGTTGTTTAATCTTCAACATGTGGATTTTAACAATAGTTATGGAAGTTAAATACAATAATTAATAAAAATAATTTGATGATTTGCGTTGCGAATTTTTTCTCTTTTTTTTTTTTAATCAATAAAATCATACCGATACCGATTAACAATTTCGAAGCTACGTTGTTAGCGATTATAAATAAATGTGACTATAAAGAAGTGATTTTATTATCAAAATCATTCAACAAATTTAAAAAAAATGTGATAGTGATTATAAGCC